ACGCGCAATTAAAATTTAATTTGTACGCTGGCTTTAATTACGCAACAGTCTATTTTTTTCCTTTCGCTGCTATATAAACTAATAACGTTAAAAAGCCACTTGTATTAATGTCGATTGTCCACCTGGAGCACAGTATTGATCAACATAAAGCATATTATTTCTTATTAAACAATTTCCTGCTTGTCTCCTACTTCTTTGTAAAACATCAATTTACGATTCGCCCGTAGATATATATCTGTTTCAATATGCATTATTCCGCTGGGTCAGCAAGGATCGATGCACCGCGAATCCTCGTCCCTCGATATTAATTCTTTAGTCGATGCAGCTTTTATTAACTGAAAGTACACTACTTAGTTTTAGTAAAGTAAAATTGATAACGCGAGGCAAAAGTCGTTTGTTTTCTACCTTATTATTCTTCTCCTTAGCTTCACCGCAAACGAGGAAATCTTAGTTCCGCGAATATGATGGGGAAAGCGATTAGAAATACCAGAGTCGCGGATATACGAAATAATCCGCGGAGTCGCCGGCCGCCGTACGATCAAGTCCGACAGCGAATAGACCGCTAATGCAGCGAAACACCCGTGTTAAACATTTCCGCGGGAGCGTAATTCTCCTCGCGTTCGATCTCGGGCAATTAGCACCGCCAGTGGCCATTAAACGTCGGCGCTTTCCGCGCGGGCGTTACACGCGCGCCCGTAAGAACGTCAATAACCGTGACACAGACATAATCGCGTGCCATCGCATGTAAATATCGCGATGCAAGCCGACGCGTTCACGCCGGATGGCCCGGCAATCACGGTCTCGTCGGACGAACACTTACCCGTGAAATCTCGTCCGCGATTTTTTTTTTCGCGAATCCGACGGGAACGGCCTCCGAGACTCCGAGATCGCGCCAAGGAACACACGAAGTTTCTGGTACCGCACATAGATCAAATTTGTAGATATATTCTTTTATCACGGTTTCATATTCCTATTTCATATTCTTTATCTTCTCTTCATATTTTTCTTTTCTGTCGTAACCTTTTGCGCAAGTATCACCGTTCACCTATCGTTTCTATAGATTAGATGCAACAATGGATGTTGCGCATGTCTTTCTTTTTCTTTTTCTTTTTTGAAGTCGTCCTTTTATAATTCATGAGTATACGCGTCCTTTTAAAATTCAACGAAACTGTAGCTGACCTGAAACCCCTTGCCCCGACATTGACTTCAGTCTTCACGCAAGTCGGATCGTGGGTTTCTTCCAAAGGAATATCTACAAATTTGACCTATATGCGGTACCAAAAACTTCGTGTATTCCTTAATCGCGATCTCGGAGTTTCGGAAGCCGTTCCCGTCGGATTCACTAAAAAGAAAAAGATCGAACTGAGCATTTTTCAGTTTTGATACAGACTCTTGGTCTTAAGTATAAAAGCATCCTCACAAATTGATGTGAATGTTTCATACTTAACGAGAAATCCATTTTTCTCCAAAAAATTTATCTTCTTCAAAAAAGACGCGTTAAGTCGATACTCGAATCTATCGAAGTTTATTATTGTGACGCTTTTCCACTTAATGCTGATTGGTTCTCTCGTTGCACTTACGTGTAATAGCAAATATAGTACAAAATAAAAAATATTAAATAGGGACCACGAAGCGCGCGTCTGTAATACTAGTCAATTAAAAAATAGTTTTATGGAAAAATAATACTTATTTTTATAACAATTTTAATATTTTGTTAATCCTCCTTTTAGCTTTTATTATCGTCTTTTTCAAGAAAATTCAATAAATAAATTACGGTAAACAAAAATTAAATAAATTAAGGGTGCTTTATACTTATATCTATTTTACACATAGGTGCTTTCTTGTTCTTTTAGAAATCTCTCTAAAATTAAATAAGATGTAAGTAAAATTAACTAGATATGTGCGATCCGAGAATTTGCAGGTCAAAATTCACAATTTGCTATTTATATAAGATTCGTGAATAATGTGAATAGAACATATTCGTTATCTAATCTCGCATTCGTTGAATGAGTTGTTTACTATTCTATCACCAGCAGGGCACGTAGAAATTATGAAACTGTCCGGAATGAATTCAGATCGAAATTTCTTCCGTTTTCCTTAAAAAACACAACAGAAATCTAGAAAATAATTGAACAATTTCGATTGGAATCTTCCGTAATACGTGCCCAAAACTTTTTTTTCCTAAATCCAAGGATGCGAATCACCAAGAATCGCATACTAAAGTCAGAATCCGACAGAATTGTTTCCCCGTTAATTGAAACTTAACGCAGCGTATAATTGGTTTTTTTTTTTAATGAAAATACAGCATGAGATGGCACACGCAAATAAACGTGCAAGAATTACGTCGCGTGAGTAGATTTTCAAGAAGGCAATTGTAGTGGACACTGTCGCTGGCTGAAAATCGCATTTATCTTTCAATATAGGACGCGATCGTTTTGTCGCTATTTTGCTATTTCGAGCACACGAGGAAATTCTCAGAGGAGAAGCAAGAGTTACGGCCATTTCGCGAAACTATTTCGAAAGCTAGCTACACACGACTAGGCGAACGTGCTATATGTCATGTATAAAAGACGACAATCACGGTGTAATGCAATAACTGCTGCACGTTAATGTACAAACTGGGGGAAACTCGCTCGCGATCTTTGATCTTCCCCAGGCAACAATTGAATATTGATAATTTCATAAAAATAGCATCCAACACACGCAGCTTTATGTCGGAAAAGCGCGCGTATCTTTTTTTTCTTTTTCCTTTTTGAAGTAGTCCTTTTATAATTCATGAGCGTGAAACTATAGCTGACCTGAAACTCACCCCGACTTTGACTTCACGCAAATCGCACTGACCCAGCATTTCAGTTTTATACAGATTCATAAGTACAGATTCATAAAAGCACTCCTGCAAATTGACGTAAACGTTTTATACTTAACGAGAAATAAATTAAAAAAACAGTTTTATTGAAAAATAATACTTAATTTTATAACACTTTTAATATTTTGTTAGTCCTCCTTTTATAGTTTCTATTATTGTCTTTTCAAGAAAAGCATCGATGTGTTTCGAGGAACACATCAATATGTTGTGTAATTATTAAGGAGGTATTCTGATCTAGAGGTTTTAAAAAATTGATTTTTTTGCTTTTTTCGAAAGCTTATAGTTTTAAGAATATTCCAAAACAAAACAAAAGCGTTTTTTTTTT